AATTTATCTGTATATACTTAAAAAAATTTTCACTGCATTGGTCGTATGTACTCTAGTAGTCAACCTTAAAAAGAATTGTTTCAGTTCAAACTATAATAGTTGCATGCTTAAGGTGCTAAAAATTATAATGACATTATAACGTCGGTAAACTAAAATTACTAATAATTCTTTTCCCCGCTCGTTTCTTCGAAATTTTGCAGGTCGACTTAAAAGTACTTTTAAACAGGGACCAATGTGCATTTGAAAAGAGATGAATCACCTGCAAACTCTTTTCGTAGCTGCAGCACAACGACCAACTATGATTCATGCAAACGCACGTGGGCCTATGCTGACCGAAAACGAAAAGCAAATAAGACAATAAAATACTTTTTAATACATAGAAATGAAAAAAACTTTAGAAACTAATAAAGGTAAAAAGTCTCACTGGGAACAGCTTAACTGGGGTGCAATACTGAATGTTGGCACAACTTGATGAGATGATAAAAGTTAGAATAACGTAGAGTTAATGCATGTAGTTAAATAATAGTACATTCTACAGTAAACCGAGCAGAGCGACATTGTTAACTCTTCGCTCGTTTTTAATACATGAACTACCCTCTTATACCATATAATGTTTTTACAATAGCCTAATTTTTGTAATCCTGACAAATGTTGCTACTCTTTTGAATGTAAAGGAAAGCGGGAAAGTTAAGCCAATAATTGATCTCACTACTAACATTTCGAAATATATTCGCAGCTAACAATAAATTGAAATGACCAACAAGCTTTGTGAAGTTAGCAAACAATGGGTCACGACCAACGCCTCATTAGTATTTGGACCACAACTACAGCTACTTCAGAGATAAGTGGTTGGACCATTGTTAACAATTACTCTTTCCCGACTATTAACTTGTTCGATTAATGTATTCGGCAACGTTAGCAACTATTATAGTTATTTATGTATAAAAACTACTATCACTAAACCTGTTCTTAATAAAGCAACACAATAAACGATGATTCAATCAACACTTACGTAAAATATTAGGCGATTTTCACCGCTCTTGTAACAACAAAGTTGATTGAGTAAACAAAATATGCTTAGTTTAAGTAAATTTTTGTAATATGTTATTCTAATGTTAACACTAAGTAATATAGATATTCTGTAAAATTTTGATGTAAAAGAGAAAGGAAGGGCACTAGTGAGTGAATCACCTTCCCCTCTCCTGACGCATGTAGAAAAGCTAGTCAAATGTGGGAAGTGCCAGTTTTGATTGGCTAAACTAGAACAACTTCAGCTAATTATATCTTCGGGTATTGTCTTTTCCCCCAAAATTTTAGCCAGCAAGTTTTCCTACGTCGTTCTCCAACCTGCTCGTGGTTGAGGTCCGCTACTCCTGATAAAAAGAGCCTGGATTCACAGGAAGGACACAGTACAGTTTAAATTTTACCCTCGACCGGTCGACTGAGTGGTTAGAGTCCGCCTCTGCTACCATACGGTCCTCCACGAGTGCGGTTGTGTGTGTGTCTAAGAATAAAAGTAAGTTACACAAAAGTAACCAAGTGGTGAACTTTGTCTTTTCTTTTTTCTTCTTGACGTCGTGAACGTGCTCCTAAAGTTAACATAATTTTTTTAATACGATATTTGATAAACTCTAGGCAAAAGATATAAATAGTCAAGTTGTATTTTACGTAAACTCTAGGGCAATCACATTTACTCTGCATGGTATTGGTGGCTTCTAGACTGGTCGCGAATTTAAACTATTTTGCCCCTTTGCGTAACCTCTAGAACGTAACTACCTTTACTCGATACGGTATTGGTAACCTCTTAATCCCAGATAGGGATACTATTTTGACACGTTATGCTGGGTATTCTTGACAAACCAGAAATGCCCAGAAATACGCAGCGAACGAGTGCCTTGCACAACTGCTAGACAACCACTTCAATTTGATCAGAATAGTCGGGCTCCCCCCTCCCTCTTCTGAACGCCCAGCCAAGGAATTTTTTTACGTCGCACTGACGTTACAACATAAAAACAGTTAAAAATCTTTCTGTACAGCAGCATGCGTAGCTCTGAGACTTAAGATTATGATGAGTGCATTAAAGCAATGAATACTTATGCAACAAAGACTTAAACTTTTATTTGTTTAGGTATTGCTGCACTGTCAACTAACTCATCCTGATAAGTTGTGAAATAAATTGAAAGATTCTATGTGTGAAAGTTATTCGTGATTAAATGTTAAAGAAACAAATTATTAACTATATCACTCTTGCATTAGCAGCTTATGAATTTATGAAAGACGACACTTTGTTGACCTTCCCACAACGGAGTAACCTGTAACTATAAGTGTTTTAAAAGACCGTGATGAGATAACTGTAGAACAAACAGTAAAAATAGGTTATCCGTACTTAATTAAGTTAACAATTTTTCATTTTTGAAAACATAAAAGAATGTTCAATGACAAATATCAGGAGGAAATCAAAAGAAGGTTTATTTTTAAAAGACGTTCAGGTATTTATGCTGGATAAAGCACCAATGTCATCAAGGTATGCTTTAGAAATAGTCTACAGGATGTTAAAAAATATAATAAACAATGACTTATCATTTGGAGGCAAAGTTAAAGTCTTATATAAAGACTTAAGGCAGCTTCTTTCAATTGAAGTTTATGGAACTCGTTACGAAGTATGAGACTTATCTTTTAAGTACAGCAATTTATGGTTACATTTATTAAAATTCAAATTAACAACAAATTGAGAAGTATTACCACTAGACGTTAAAATCACTTACTTTCCATTCGACATAGCTGACGGTAGTATCAACAACCAAAATTATACTATAAACCTTCCAAACGAGGTCATACTAAAAAACAATGAGTACATCGAAAACTATGTTTTTCGCAACCTAATGAAAGAAAAAAGATCCATAGAATAAGTAAATGCACTGTTCTCTCAGCAAGAAATTTTGATTTCAATGATATCAATGAAAAATGTACTGATTTGTAAGATTAGACTACAGAGCATACATACAGTGAGATTGACTGTTTCAACGGTTGTGACATTGGTAAATTTTATTTTGCCTTTTTTTCTAGATTACCATAGTTCTCTTAACCCTTTAAGCTCACCTCCATTCAAGTCACGTTTAAGAAAAAACATTATTATTATGGTAATAAGAAACATAACTATTCATAAGTGCTTATGAAATAAAACACAATTATCAATAATTGATTTTTTTTACACCTATCGAAATGTATTATTTAAACTAGTGAAAAACTTGATTTTACTTTTTTTTTAATTCGTATTACTTTGTTATGTGGGAACGAATATCCGTTAACTTTTAAAAAAAGGCTGTTTTCTGTTACGGTAGCTTTTGAAATGACTATTAATAAATTGCATGGACAAACGTTTAAAGAATAGATACAGATCTCCAGAGAAACGTGTTTAATCATGGTCAACTTTACGTTGGTATGTCTACAATACGATACAAGAAATACACCAAAAGTTTCTTTGGGGCATCAGTTAGAAGACATTACTTTGAAGAAATATGTTTCTGAAAAATTCTGCACATAAATGAAATTTTACTGTTGTGTATAAAAGTATAACTGATACAATTTTTGTTTGTGAATCTTTAAATAATAAGTGTGAAATTAATTAGATAACATGTTCCTTTGTGGTTAAATATTTCGTGCTACCTACACTTCAAATTGAAGTAAGTAGATGCTTACGAGAGTGCCTTGAAAGCGTGCAGCATATCAAATAACTTGAGCAAAAGAAATAAAAGTATAGCAGATACATTATTAAGTAAACTAAGTGTCATATTTCATAAACTTAAAAAATCAATTCAATTTTTTGCAATACACTTATCTTCTTGTCAAAACTAGCAAATAAAGTGATAAGTCTGTAACTATAAAAAAAAACGTGTATAGTGAGTAGTGAGTGCATTTATTAATTATATTCACTCAATGCACAACAGTTATTAATTTATTAGAAATTTATATACTAGAAAGTTAAATAATTTTTTTAATTTTTGAAAAATATTTATTTAAAATTCGTTCCATTTTTTATACTTTTGTCTGAAGCTTATAAATGCAAAACAAAATGCTACATGCGTAACGCGCAATTAAAACCTTGTTTAAAGTTGAAATGCCGCTTGATGTTTGGGGATAAAAATTTCAGTATAATTATTTAACGATACATTAGGTCCACAAAAATAGGGTTATTCTAAAACTAACATTTTGTAGTATTATTAACCAGGTATAAAGAAAAATAACTTATTAAAGGCAATAAATTAATAGATTTTAGATTTTAATAATACACTTGTTTTCCAAGCGTTTGCTCTGAAATATTCAAAAACTCAGGTATGTGAATAAATATGAATAGAGATATAAGTTAAGTAAGTAATTTAGTTAATACGAACTGACTTCAATGAATGATTCAGTTGTGTTTAATAGTATGGTTTGCAGGCACATATTCTGTTTCTAAAAATAACAGAAATAAGTAGAGTAAATTTAAAAAAGATGATATTCAAAGAACAATCTTCTTTCTATTTTAGAAAAGCTTGAATTTAAATTAAAACGATTGTTTTCAGAACCATTGAGATTACATTCTTAAATGTGCATTAAATGTTACTAACAATACTAGCATTTACCCAGGATTTTATTGACTAAACAAACTGCAAACTTTTCATTAACCTTTGAGAAATTCAGCCAATCCCGTAGCCTATTCCATCTTGGTCTTCTGTACTAAATCTAATCTAACATTAAAAAAACAATTATACAAATAGCAAATCAAGACGTAATAAAGGACAATTTTTTTTGTCAACCCTTACTGAGCTTATTTACTTACATTATCGATTGAACAGTGGAGTACATATTTTACCTAAAAAACGTATATATTTATCAACAAAAGCAATAACTCAATTAATGTTTCTGTAAGTTCCAGTTAAATTTATTGTTTTTTTTTATTAGAAAATTTTTTGGAATGTGTAAGAAAAAAGTCAAACTCATTGTAAGGCAAAATCACTTACGTTATACGGGGTTCTTGGTTCCGATGTATTATTGACACTTTCTGTTATGTCCTCTGATTCACTCACCTGTGGATGGCTTGCAGAAAAATTGACACATTCCTTTGTTATTCCATCTAGTAAGGAGATCGCGTAGAATTCTTGAATATCTGTGAATACATAAAAATAAGAAAAAAAAATATTTAATTAATGAGCTACAACTTTTTTATTGTAGAGTATTTAAAAGCGGTAAGACCCAGGATCAACAATTCTTTAAAATTCTTAACTTGTTACTTCCACGTGATCATATTCCTTAATAAACTAATTAAAAAATAAAGCGGTGCAGGATAAAAATTCATTTAGTTAAGGTACAGTATGAAGTGAAAGGACGAAAAAAACTGTATCACTCAAGCTTTTACAACTATAGAAAAGAATTCTTATTCAGGACAGTGTGGTTTTTTAATATCTATAAGTATTATAATTAGTTGAACTTATTATTTTTAAGCTAGTAAGAATTAAAATTATTTCATTTTTATAAGATTCTATCAAAATGTACAATGCCAAAATATAAAATAACTTTTAATTTAATAGTAAACAAACTTTACTATTTAACTTTAGTAAAAAAACTTTCAAAAAAAGATCAATGTAAAAATATAAAAAATTAAAGTTTATCTTTGTTTATTACTTAATTTTTACTATCTTTCGTGTATACAGTATCATTTACGAGAAAAATTTTATACAATAATGCGTGCCGCTTAACCTAGATTTTGTACGCATATAGTACAGCACAGCATTGATTAATGGAATTTCGAGGGAGGGGACTGTCTGAGCTGAGACATTTGGACTCAGAGAGTCCAAACGCTTGAGTTCGTAGTTATCAATGTAAGATATACAGATATATGATGTTTTATTGTATACATATATTGAACTATTTGATGCATACATGTACGTATGTATAGCAAGTATGCATGAACATGTGTGTCTTTTAATGCTGATGCTCTGATCTCCACTTGTATCGTTTATGTATGATTTTGCTTAAAGCTTCCAAATGGGCAGGTACGTAATTAATAAAAAAAAAAAAAATGTCAAAAAGTTAACACTATCACAGCTGATCTCATCAATAAATTTGTTCTGAGCTGCAACACTTGTTTAACTTTCTAATGCCTGACGGGAAGTGTCGCAAAAATTCGCATAACTGTAGGTACTCTACTCATCATGTAGATGAAGTACTAGAGCTTATATTACTATGCTTGATACCATTCAAGTCATGCATATAGTTAATTTATACAAACGAGCCTATACGGAGAAAGTGTAGTTAGGTCACGTTGATATTTAACATTTCACTTTTTTGAAAAACTTATCAACATGCTTATTAGACCACCCAACATTACTTATTTTATTTGATTCTTGTAAAATTGTCTGGAACAAATGTGAAGGTGAATACAAGTCCAGCAGTTCACAACAACCCGAACAAACAGATCAACTGTGACAGTATTTGATGCCTTGCAAGATTTTAGAATCCGTCAATTTGCTTTGACTTGTTTTTATAAATGATGTAACTTTTTGAATCATCATCTTCACAAAGTTTCTCATAAGCTTATGTAAGTCTGTAAAACTTTTTTGTGTTTGCGTGAAAAAATTGTATTATTAAAAACAAATGGATTCTTATTCATGAGATATAATTTTTTATTAAATTTTTAAATATCTATTTTTGTGGCCAGTAATAATGTATTTATCAATGTACTATTTAACTTATTATTAAGTCGATAGTATTCGTGAAGATGTACTAGCAGAAACTACTTACAGGCTGCTTTCCTCCCCAGTAGTGTTATCCTGATAAATTCCTACTATTCCTTGCACATCATTTGCATAATCTTAAAATTGTAATCATCGTTGTTTTCTACTTTACTATGATGCTTAACATTTCTGTTATAAATGTATTGCAGCACACTCTTCTACATAACATCTTTAAGGTTTGCATGTGGTATCTTAGACACATGAATACTGAGTTAAGTTTAATGAACTAACGTGAAGGCCGTGATAAAGAAGGAGCTTCTCTTCAAAAAATATTAAAAACTGAAAAGTCACTTATTTCATTAAATGACCAAAAACAAGTTTCTGAAGATACTTTGTCTAGTAAGATAAAAAAGATTTCTCACTATTCTTGTTTTCTACAAAAAAAATTCCCCAGGGCACCCTG